CGCTGTTGTTTGCATAGCTGTCATATACAGAGTCTGAGCTCCTACCTGTCCCTAACGACTTGGTCAAATTGAACCACCCATGAGCTTCTCAGTCTCCCCCTTCTTAATTGAGACTGTAGGATGTGTTCTTGTAATATTACTCTTGACAACAGATGTCAATGTCTCCATATATATAGGAAATTGCTTACGATTGTTGGATTAAGATTGTGCGCGGTCGTAACAGATCAACGTCATTCGCCAGAACTGGTTTATGCAGGCTCTGGATTGTATCTTTTATACGTTTGGAGGAAGTTCTCCATTTTTTTTGCTTTAGAGAAATACCACCATAATCAGGTTGGATCGGCTGATAAAACACTAGATTCCCTAAATCACTACTCAATTTCAATCAGTTACCCTATTTATCAATCAGTTTCCAGATTCAATTTGAATAGTATGACACCACCACCCTTTTCTCCGATCCATCACTTGGGAGAAAAGCAAAAGCACCCTTGGAAAGTAAATGTTTACAACAAATTAATTAATAATACTTAAATATTGATCTACTAGCAGTAGGTGTGTTTGGTTACCCTAAAATTTGTAACAATTATTGCAAATTGTTACTAAAAGTTATCTGTTAACACGAAAAATCTGCAAGAGAGCGATTTGAGAGAACAATTTTGACAGTTCTTTCACTTAGAGTTTGCAAATTCTTGCTGGACAAATTTCTTCTTTCAATCACTTGCAACTCTTCTCCTTCCTGTGATTTATATTTGGAAAAGCAATTTAAAACCAGTAAGAAAAAAGTCCTAAAGGCGGGCGAGACTCCACATAACAATTAAAAGTTTTTATGGGAAAATTCAATCATACACGCTATGATTATAATTATAATTTAAAGTTCAAAGGACTAAATATGCCGAAGCATTTGTATCTTTTAAATTCGGACTTGTATTGTCCATTTGGTGCACAATTAATTTGAAATCGGATAAAGATATATATGGGAGCTATATCCAATTCTGAACCGATCTCGATAAAATTTGGCAAAGATATTTCTGAGCTGCATTTGATATATTTCCCCAAATATTGTTGTTACGGAGTGCATATTACGGCTGCGGAGGACAAAAGTAACAAATCGGATGGACCATATATATGGGAGCTTTAGCTATATCTGAACCGATTTCGATCAAATTTGGCATACTTATTTTCAGGCCTAATTTGATATATTTCCCTGAATATCGTTGTTACGGAGTGCATATTACGGCTGTGGGTAACAAATACTACAAATCAGACGAACAATATATATGGGAGCTATAGCTATATCTGAACCGATCTTCACCAAATTTGATATACTAGTTCCTAGACTCTATTCAGACGTAAGTACCAAATTTCATCCCATTTGGGCAAATATTAGACGTTTGGTGCACAATAAAAAGTAAATCGGCCGAAGTTATATATGGGAGATATATCCAAAACCGAACCGATCTCGATAAAATTTAGTAAATGTATTTCTGAGCTGTATTTGATATATTTGCCCAAGTATTGTTGTTACAGAGTGTATATTACGGCTGCGGATGACAAAAATAACAAATAACAAACAAATAGGCCTAATTTAGTTGTATGTGCAAAATTCCATACTATTCGGGCTGGTATTACACGTTTGGTGCACAATAAAAGGCAAATCGGACGAACATATATATGGGAGCTATATCTAAATTTTGACCGATTATCTCCAATTTCAATAGGGTTCGTTCTTGGGCCAAACGAATATTGTTTGCAAAATTTCACCTCAATCGGATAATAAATGCGACCTGTATTTTGTTCACAAGAATACATGGACAGAAGGACGGAATTCAGGAATTCCGTCTGTTTACTTCTCACACGTTTTCTTGCAAAAGAGAGCAAAACTACCATACTCTCTCAGAAAGAAATTACTGGACAATTCCTGCAGGTTAAGTAACCAAATACGCCTAATTTTAAAGAACTAAAAAAATCGTACTTTGGTGGACATTATTGATCAGCACTGGTCTGTAATGCAAAATACGTGCCTTTTTGTATGTACGAAGGGATTCATATCTTTTCTTATCGGTTTTCTTCTAACTAATTACTTAACTTATATTCCACGGGTATGAGTGAAGAAATTTTCGACACAGAATTGAAAGTCAATGAACCTACAGACTTTGACTTTTTTGACAATTGCATGAGCCTCATTTATGCTTTTCTTCGACTAAAATTATAATAAATTAGTTATAATGAAATAACAACGTTAACACATTTTCTTTATGACCAAAAATAAACCAAGAAGTAAAACGAGTATGTTTTTTTTTTCTAATGGTTCTAAATAAAACTTCCATTTGATCTTCACCTTGATCGAGGTCTTGCTCTTAGAGCAACAGAATTGTTTACAAAGAATTCCAAATTGATGTTTTCGTTAAAAAAAATACTACGAAAACTCCATCTATTCCGGTTTGGCAAATACAAGTCTACTTTTTGTTGTGTGGAAATTTGAAACTTGAACGAGGCATTTTCATTTTTTTTTGGTATGTTGCATACGTATCGTGTAACAGACAAACAAAACCAGCTGTGGCTATTACGTTGGCCAAATAATACGTCGTGGTAATGAGCAACAGCAAGTGCTCGATTGGTTGGTTGGTTGGTCTGTCGGGTTGCAAGCGTCTGGTAACCATTCAACATTGGCTTTGTCAAAAGTCTGAAATATTGTTGTAAGGCAAAGTGCATTGCGGAATATGTGCAAACAGCTTTAAGGTGGTTGTCTTTGTTTATTTTTTGGTTTGGAATGTTCCAGTATGTCAAAGTTGCCATATGTATTTTTGAGAGACTCTTGATCATGACTCAAGTATAAGACCCTCTGCCAAGATAGATAACTACCAAATGTAATCTCAAAATACATTATTGTGATTGAAATCACAGAACAAAAGATAAACAAGTAGCCAACAAAGTGTAGGAAAATTTTGACATTTTATGTGGTTCTCTCCCGTTTCTCTCTCTCTCCCTCTAATCTAATTCTGCAATACTGAGTTATTGGTAGAGACGCAATGTTGTTTCTCTCTATATTTTGAAAAAAAAAAAAATAATTTGTGACCATTGAATATCACCTAATTTCGAGTGAGATGCCCTTGTTAAATTATGGGTTAGTAATCCGACTTGTAATGAGTATTTTTGCTGTAATGAATATTAAGATCTTACGGTCAATTTTTTCAAAAAAAGTAAGTAAAAGTCAAAAGTCGGGCGTATCCACCTTTGGCTTCAGAGCAGTTATAATTCGGTTTCAGAGGGAACTAATATATGGGAGGCATATCCAATTCTGAATGGATTTTCACTAAATTTGACGGAGATATTTCTATCTTTTATTCCAAATAGCATAGCCATAGAGTGCGTGATATCACTTCGAGAATGATTATATTTAAAAATATATATGTATATTGAAGCCGAGTTCCACCAATTAAAAAGTATGTCGCGAAATTCACTCCATTTGGGTTGATTTTAGTGATAATTTGCAAAATAAACCTGAAATCGGATTAAGGATATGTATGGACGCTATATCCAAAACTGAATTGATTCTGATACAATTTGGCAGAGGTATTTCTGAGCTGTATCTGATATCTGATAGCAAATATCATTCTGGTGGGGTGCATATTACGAATGAGGGACTTAAACACCAAGTCGGATGAAAAATATATATGGGAGCTATAGCTATATCTGAACCGATTTTCACCAAATTTGATGTACTTATTTCTAGTCTGAACTCGGTCGGAAGTGTCAAAATTCACTACATTTGGACTGATATTAACCATCTGGTGCACATTAAACGCGAAATTGATCTAAGATATATGTATGTATATGGGAGCCGATTTTCCAATTTGATGATTTGGAAGTGCCAAATTTCAGGTAATTTGGACTGATATTGGCCATTTAATGCACAATTAACCCGAATTCGGTTCAATATATATATATATATATGCGAGCTATATCTAAATTTGAACCGATTCTCACCAATTTCAATAGGGTTCGTCCTTGGGCCAAACAACTTTTTTTGGAATATTTCGTCTTAATTGGATAATAAATGCGACCTGCATAAATCGACTCAGAAAGAGATTCTAAGAAAATCCTCAAACATAATTATGGGTCTATCTCGCTTCCTTCTCCATGTTTCAAACAAATGCACAAAGACATAATAGACTTACCACTATGTGGTGTAGGGTATAATAATGGGCACCGTATTATATTACCAGACTTAGATTAACTTCCAAGATGTACTCTATCCGTCTTCTCCTCTCCAATAAGATTCGACATCGTACTTTTTCCACTAAACTGAGATAAAGTCCGAAGATAGAATATGACCCTTCCGTTGCTTTCTTAAAAAAAGCTATGTAACTAATCATAGACAGGATAAATGTATATGTCTACAAAACCGACTTATTCTTTTACTCATGTTTGAGACATGTGAACAATCGGGGTTTTTTATAAAGAATTGGCTATATTTTGCATTTCGAAATCTTAAATCACAATAACTAGTTACTTTCCAATACTAGGAAAACAGAAGCAAATGCAATGACGAAATTTCTCCAAAACAAAAAGGTGTTACTCAAATGCCCCAAATACCTCTTGTTACCAAACTAGATGGCAATAAAAGCCATCAACTTGGTTTAGAGGAAAAGTAGTAACACCACCAACCACAAAATGTGTTACGTAATAATTGTAAATGCCTCCAGCACTCAGTCATAGTCCAACACAAACAATGGCACAGTGGTGGTACTGCTGCTGTTGCTGGTTAACACCAAATGTTTTCATTGGGAATTCCCATCGAAAAAAAATGGAATGAATGGAAAATTGGTAACAGGAAATTCCCAAGATAGTTAGGTATCCTTTCTTGATGTTTGTTTTCAAAATAATTAATTGCGTATTCAGATTCGTATAAGTACGAATATGTAGGTGGATACATTTTCCTCTTGTCTTGCAATTAAATACTAATCTCGTTTTGCATCTTTTCTTTTTTCAATTTACAGTGGACGATGCTTCCGGACATTATGCTTCGGGTTTCTTTTATGGCAATAACTATTGGATGGGTTCAATGTCACTGTGTAAGGCAATCTATCATGAAGATGACGATGCTGATGAAGCGGCTCGCAGACAGGCGGCGAAAAATTCCGGTTTACCCTTTGCCAAGGCCCATACACAGGCATACACCACCGTTTACAATGAGAATCCATCATTTGTGCCGGGATTTTTTATTATCAAAATGTTACTCAATGAAACCTATCCCACCAATGTTGTAAGTATAAAGCGATAATTCCACGAAGAGATGATATTGCATATTGAGATGAACTACTCCTTCTCTCGTGACATTATTTGGCGACGTTTTAAAACTGGAGACAAGAAATTTAAAATATGTTTCATTTTCTCCACATTTTTCTCTCCAATATCCGGAAAGTTTAAATGCTTTTCATGACATGTGGGTTCGTCTTCTTTTTAAAATGTAATTCGAAACATTTTAGTTTTAATCTGTAACATTTCAATATATATTTGCAACTAGTGCCCCCGAGTTAAAATAAGCAAAACTTACTAGCGAGCAGGATTATTAGAAGAGTGGAAGTTTATTACGGAGTCTACTTTTCACTTTTAATACCCTACATCACGCTGTGGTCAGGGTATTATGTGGTTGTGCATTTGTTTGTAACATAGAGAAGGAAGCGAGTTAGACCCATAGTTTCTTTTGATGATCTGCATGGAATAACATTCTGAGTTAATTACAGGTCGCATTTATCGTCCGATCGAGATAATATTTTGCACAAATCGATTGTTTGGCCCAAGGACGAACCCTATTGAAATTGGAGGTAATCGGTCAAAATTTAGATATAGCACCCATTTATATCTTCGTCCGATTTGCTTTTATTGTGCACCAAACGTTTAATGGTAGACCAAATTATATGGAATTTGGCACATTCAACCAAATTGAGTCTAGAAACAAATGTGTCAAATTCGGTTGAGATATGCAGCTATGAGATAAATATATAGAGTGAGATAAAACAAGTAACAAAGCTGTAAGTTCGGCCGGGCCGAACTTTTAATACCCTCCACCATTTGGTACAAATTTGCTAAATTTCCAAAAAAAAAAAAATTCTGTTAAAATATTAAAAATACCGAATGCCTATACGACGACGTGGACCTGCATAGGCAACTTTTGTCATAAGTTATCACAAGTTATCAATGCGGAACTTGAAGAAAAGCGTGTTTATAATGTAGCTAAAATCATCAAAATACCGAATATAGGGGGTACCGTTATATGGGGGCTATACGAAGACGTGGACCTGCACAGACAATTTTCTGGCATGGGCTGAAATATCCATTACGAACTTCACATGTGAAATTTAAAACAATCCCGGTAAATAATGTCGCTAAAATCATCAAAATACCGAATATCGGGGGTTACGGTATATGGGGGCTATATGATAACTTGGACCTACATGGTTCATTTTCTGCTTTATGCTGCAGTATCTATTACGAACTTCAAATACCAAATTTGGAATGATTCCGTTAAATAATGTCGCTAGAATCATCAAAATACCGAATATCGGGGGGTACCGTTATATGAGGGCTATATGAAGACGTGAACCTACATGGCTCATTTTTTGACTTAGGATGTAGTATCCATTACGAACTTCAAATACCAAATTTGAAACGATTCCGATAAATATTGTCGCTAAAATCATCAAAATACCGAATATGGGGGGTACCGTTATATGGGGGCTATATGAAAACTTGGACCTACATGGTCCATTTTCTGCCTTATGCTGCAGTATCTATTACAAACTTCAAATACCAAATTTGGAATGATTCCGTTAAATAATGTCGCTAAAATCATCAAAATACCGAACATGGGGGGGTACAGTTATATGGGGGCTATACGAAGACGTGGACCTGCACAGATAATTTTCTGTCTTAGGCTGTAGTATCCAGTACGAACTTCAAATGCCAAATTTGAAACAATTCCGGCGAATAATTTTGCGAAAATCCACAAAATACCGAATATCGGGAGGTACCGTTATATGGGCGCTATATGATAACTACGAACTTAACCTGCCTACTGGCAAAATATACATGTCTGCAAAAATTTAGCCTTCTATCTCAATTTGATCTAAAGATAGCGTGATTACAAGAGACAGACTGACAGAGAGGCACACAGACAGACAGACGGACATGGCTAAATCGTCTTAGAACTTGACGCTGATCAAGAATGTATATACTTTGTTGGGTCTGACATGAGTATTTCGAGGAGTTACAAACGGAATGGCAAAATTAATATACCCTCCATAGTATGGTGAAAACCAAATCCGGCAGTTCACCACTTTCGCCCAAGCGAAGCAACTCTTTAGCTCTTTCGAGTCTATTTTCTTTCTGTTGCGGTGTAAGTTCTTGCACTTTTTGGAATCTCTATGGCTTTACCCCGAGCTCATTTATCAATATTTGTGAATGGAATATTGCAATATGTTCAGCTCACGAGCCATTTTTCGGCCACTGCGACGCGGGTTTCCATCAAGTCGCTTCTTTACTTTTCGAACTATTTCTGCTGATGTTACTGTTCTCTTCCGTCCACTTCCTTGAAGTCGGGCTACGCTACCTGTACCGTGAGTAATGAGCGATGGAACGACACACAAAAGATTTATTCACATTTAAATGCTGGATGGATGTATAATACGCATTCGAAAACGTCATATTTAGTACATTTTAACTCTCATAAATTCCCATTAATAGCGTTTTGTTGTTATGTGTAGCTTTACTTTATATGCGAAGTGGTGTAGGGCCCAGCCCGACTTTGGCCTTTCTTTAACGGTCTGGTGCTCCAGAGTCACTACCGTTTGAAAAATTAGAGTGAGAGCAAAATCACTTCAAATAGAGCAAGAGTTTGCTCTAAGAGGGTAAAAGAGTGCGTGTTTGTGTGATATCAAACGGGTTGTGATATTGCTGTGTACTGTAGAAGAATAGGTGAAGGGGAGTGTTTATAAAACTGTACAGAAAAAATACACATAAATATAAATACAACAACGGTATGACAAAAACTAAAAGAGTGAAGTTGCAACCGTAGAATCTGCTCGATTTTAAACAAAATTTGCTCTCACTCAAAAACGAGGGAAACAAGCTCTCACGAGCAACATCGAAAAATTGAGTTTCTTCGATTTTTATCCTGCTCCCAAGGGCGCTTCCACTCAGTTCGAGTAAGTTTGCATAAAGTCATGCGAGTTTTTTGGAGGTCTAGTTCAATATGAATAAAGACTAGTCCAAAAATAACCCAAATGCCTGAAAAATCCTAATCCATTTAATCCATGCTTTGGAATAACTTACACCTGCAAAAACTGGAAGCTTAATGTGCAGAGGATAAAACACAAACTCCTGTCGTTAACTAGAAAATTTTGTTTGACAATGACATGGTCCATAACCCCTGGACAATATTATAAGTAGTCCATATTATCTGCAAAGGATCAAGAAGTATGGTTTTATTAGCGGGGATTGGAAATATCCACTCTCTCCTAGATTCTTAGCCATGTGATTAGTCTCAAATAAGAAGTGCAAGACTTGCAAAACAATGTATCAAACATATACATTTTCATAAACAAAATCTCAAACGTGAACAAGGATTTTGAGCTAAATACTATAGAATATAATTACCCTCTTTGATTCAATTCTTTTTAACCCGTTTCTAAACTATTTCTCTTTGTACCCACAGATTAGAACCATATACCTTGGAGTATGTTTGCCATCAACCTGCAGTAGCCAAGATGTCAAAGAAATTGCTCGCCGCGCTCAGCGTCCCATCGATTCGCATGAAGTAGCATTGCTGGATGTTCGTGTACCCACAGACAAGGAATTTAATATTTTCGAAGATCGCACATTCTGGATTTTAATGTTGGTATTTTGTAACAAACAAATTGTTCCGATCATTTGATATATGTATGTATTTCGTAATCTCTTTTTATTTTGTAGCGTGGTTTCGACAGTTGTGGCTTGTCTGATATTTGCCGGTACTCTATACGAAGTTTATTTACGAAGACGTTTCCGTGAAGCTTTGCGTCGTCAGGACAAGGAAATGATGAACAACAGTGAAACATCCTCGGGTATAGGTTGTGCAGCTTCAGACTACAGTGATTCTGTGACGAATGAGTCCTTGAAAAAAGAATCGCTCAAGGATCTGAATATAGTTCTCAACCTACCACACACAGTCACTGAATGTGGTCCGGTAACGAGTACAAGCACTTCGGATGAACACTTAGAGGGACATCTACATGAGCCGGAAAAACTTAGTGTATATTCCGAGCTCTTGCTATCGTTTTCGGCCATAACAAATTTCAATGCCATCTGTGATCGTAATGTAGGCGCCGACACCATACCATCCATCCACGGCCTAAGAGCCTTTTCAATGGCTTGGGTTATTCTGGGCCATACCTGCATCGTAATCTTCAAGTATTCCGACAACATGGAACTAAGAAAAGATGTCGAAAAGAATTTCTTCTTCCAGGCCATAACCAATGGGCCATTCAGTGTGGATACCTTTTTCTTTATAAGTGGTTGTCTGGTGTCTTATCTGTACTTCCGCTCAAATGCTAAGGGCAAGCTGAATAAACTTATCAAAGGAACAAACGAATTTACCAGATGTACGGCACACTTTTTCGGTTTGGTTATATACCGCTTTATGAGGTTTGTATTCGAATCTGGAAACATTGTCATTGTGAATTTCATAATTATTTCTTATTTCGTTTTTATTTCAGATTGACCGCTCCATATATGTTTGTTTTGGGTGTGGTTCAGGTGTCGATGAAATATTTGGCTACCTATTCGATATTTGATCCTCCCACAATGGATCACGTCACATGCCCCGATTATTGGTGGCGTAATGCCCTCTACATTAACACTCTTTTCCCCGTAGAGGAAATGGTGAGTTCGTAGACCTTGAATAGATTATTTTAATTTCTTCTTTGATGCCCTCTTTTCACTCTTCAGTGCATGCTATGGAGTTGGTATTTGGCAAATGACACCCAGTTTTACATCATCGGTGCTCTGATACTTATCGTGGGAGTTCGTCATTTCAAATTATCGGCTGTGACTACAGGCGTCTTTTTGGTGCTGTCTTGGATAACAACGGCCGTGATTGCCTTCAGCAACAATCACAGACCCGATACCGATGATCCCTTGGCCTTGTTCGACAAGATTTATGACAAACCATGGACTCGTTTGGGGCCATATTTGATTGGCATGGCAGTTGGCTGGATTCTGTTCCGTACGAATTGTAAGATACGTTTATCGAAAACCAAAGTGGCTATTGGCTGGACCTTGGCGTCGCTGAATCTATTTGTTTTGGTGTTTGGTTTATACCGCGCCGAGTTGTCACAGTTCACAGCAGCTCTTTACAGCTCATTGAGTCACTCGGCATGGGCTGTGTCATTGGCTTGGATAACCATTGCCTGTTCAACGGGCTACGGAGGCTTTGTCAACACATTGCTTTCGGCTCCTTGTCTATATCCATTCTCCAGAGTTACATATTGTGCATATTTGGTGCACCCCATTGTTATACGTTCGATGGCCCTCAACACTGATTCACCCTTACATTTGGGCGGTGACACTATGGTAAGTACGATGATACCGGAGCAATTATAACTAAGTAAAAATTCTTCGATTTTTTCTTGATTATTGTTTTATCTGAATCCGGGAAGAATTTTTTCCTTAGGATACTCGGATCTTTTACCCAAAAATTGAATTACCGATTTATACCCGGATCTATTAATCCGATATATTAATAATCCGTATTTTTGCACTCGGATTTTTTATAAATCCGTTAAAGGTCAAAAGGATCATAAAATAAGCATCAAATTTAGAAACAAAAAAACTTCGGTTCGCGTAGACGCTTTTTGACATACAAAGATAAGAAAATCTCAAGCCACGATCTCAAGACCTGCTACTTTAAAAAAGTTTAATGCTAGAAAAAAACTGCCGATTTTAGTCATACCGAAAATTTATGCTCCGGCTGAAGGCCAACAACTTAAAATAAGTATACAATTCAGGAAAACTTTGGATCGAGCTGCCGATCGAGCTTAAAAAAGTATAACATTTAGAAAAGCGTTGGTTCACGTGTTGGAAAAACTATATCGATTTAGTAGATCCGGGTCTAAACCAGCTCTTAAAGGCGGACTTTTAGATCAAAAGTACATCCCCCAGGAAAAAATAGGACAAAAATATCTAAATCTGAAATGAATTTCAAAAAAATCTGAGAATTTTTACTAAACTAGAGTTAAGCCCTCATACCAAACACCCACACACATTGCTTACAATTTTTAATTAATGTTTATATATTTTTTGTTTATCTGCACAGGTAATCATGTTCTTTGGTTTCGTTGTCGCTTCCTATTTGCTTTCATTTGTGGTCTCGATGTCATTTGAAGCTCCAGTCGTTACAATGCTCAAGATTTTATCGCCTAGTCGAAAAAAGCGTTTGGCGTAAGAGGTGCCACACTTTTCGCCGCCGCTAGGCCTCAGAGGCCAGAAGTACGCTTTCAATTTGTTTTATTATCGTAATGTTTAACTATTATTTTTATGATTATGTACATATATAGCTACTGAATATTTGTTATTATTTGTAAGGTTACTCATACATCCACAATACAAACGAACTTCCTCTATTTATCAACAACGAATCATCATCATTCGCTCGCACATTCTTGTCATTCTACGAAGCTCCAATCTATTGTCACCCCAAATAACATCAACCCACTAAAAGTTCTACTCAAATGAATACAGCTCGAAAATGAATCGAAGGTAATTCGAACTCAAAATGATAGCAGCCCTAGACCCTTTTGTCTGGTTGCAAATCATTTGACTAAATTTTTGTATGTACGTACCATTGTTAATCTATTGTAAATTAAGAAAATATTTTACTTCTCCCATGGAATTCATTTCAATTTCGTGTTCTTTTTTTATTTCAATTATTTAACTTATTTTTTTACTTCGCTTATCTTTTCTCAAACAAACGACCATCTAAAACTGTTATAATTTTATTTTAAATATTAAGCACTAAATTACTAGCAAGTAATCGATATTCCTGCAATTTTGTAAAATACAACTCTGTCACAAAATATTTAATATTGTATTGCAATTAAAAGTTCATAATTTACGCATCGAATCTAGTGTACCATTCTATAATAAAAACGAACAAAAATCCCAAACTTGTTGTTTGATTAAGTAATTTTAATATGAGGCCTGCATCACATACGTCACATACGTACGATAACTATTTCAGTAAAAATCAGGGCTGCAAACCGGTTCTGAACCGAACCAAACCTATATATCTGTAAATGTAACGAAGCGTGAACCAACTCGTTGTCTAAAAAAAAAAATACTGAAACGATTTTAATTAAAAAAATGGTTCGGTTCGGCTCAACAACTTGTGCCGCTAAAATTAGGATTTTCTGTCGTACTGTAAAGAATTATTATTTTTTATTAGTCCCTCATAGCATAACATATTAAATCCATATTCCAACTCAAATCAACAAGTGTTACGTGATTGTTCTTAATACGAAGGCCAGGTTTGGTGGGTACAGGGTAAGATTAAAAAACTACAACAAACTCAAACGCCATAATTTTTAATTTTTTTATTTTGGAATAAGTTTAGATTTGTTCCAATTGGTCACCTTTGGCACGAATTATGGCCTTCAAACGGCCAATGAAACCGTCACACGCTACCCGAATATTGCTCTGCGGTTTTTTGTCCATTCCCGGTGAAGCGTTGCTTAAGGTGATCGACACTTTGGTGTTTTTTAGTACCAACGTTGCTTTCCAAAATACTCCGGACACAATCGTCCAACGGATTGGTATCCGGAGATTTTAGTGGCCATTGTGCGCTGGAAATGAAGCGAGGAACCTCATTTTGTAACAATTCTTAGGTGGCGCTTGCTGAGTGCGGTGGTGCTGAGTTCTGTTGGAATGTCCAAGGTCTGCAGCCAAAATGTTTGCGTGCCCAAGGCTTTAATACACACTCCAAAATATTTTCGCGATAATATTCGGCATTATACGAGCGGAGTGCTACCATCGGCTGTTATGGCGGCCCACACCATCATCATGGCCGGCGCTTAAGTTCTGGTCGCCAACCGAAGATGCACATTTTCAGCTGCTGGACAACGTTTACAAACTGCTGGACAACGAATGTTTTGTCATCGGAGAAAACCAAATTCGGCAGTTCACCACTTTCGGCCAAGCGTTGAATCTATTTTCTTTCAGTTGCGGTGTAAGTTCTTGCACTTTTTGGAATTTCAATGACTTTATTCCGATCTCATTTTTCAATATTTGCCGAATGGGATATTGCGATATGTTCAGCTCACTAGCCTTTTTTTTGGCCACTGCGACGCGGGTTTCGACCAAGTCGCTTCTTTACTTTTCGAACAATTTCTGCTGATGTTCTTGTTGTTTTCTTCTGTCCACTTCCTTGACGTCGGGCTGCGCTACCACTATCGCGGTAACGAGCGATGGTACGAGACACAAAAGATTTATTCACATTTAAATGCTGGAGTGCTCTAACGATAGCCACTGGTGCTTTTCCAGCCAAATATAAAGAAATCACACTATCACGCTTGAATTCCATCACGAATAACTTTTTTTCTGGAAATGTTTCACCAAAATGCTTTTGTACGTTTGTAAACAATATAATGAGCTGTCAGTAGAATAATTCTAACAGCTGTCGGACGAGCGGCTTAGAAATGACAGCAGTCTGAAGTTTTTTCATCTCACCCTGTATGCGTGTAGTATGATGCCTGGGGTTTTGGAAATTCGTACTAAAGGCTTACGAAATTTACTAAAAATGTAAAAAAAATTTAATATTGGACAAACGAAAAGAGCTAGAATTCTAAAATTTGGAATGAGAGTCACTGATGGAGTATCAAGTGGTTTTTTGGAAATTCAAACTAAGGTTACGAAAAGTTCTAAAATGGTACAAAACTTCTAAATTGGTACCAGTTTAGTATTATGTGAACGGATAGAGTTAAAACCTTGAATTTTGGTACGGGAATTAAGGTTGGAATGTAAGTGTGATATATGAAGGAAGTTTTGAAAAGCTTGTTAAGGTGTTTTTAGAAATATATACTACAAGTGCACGAAAAGTACTAAATAGGTCTATATTTTGGACGAAAAGTACTGAATGGTACTAAATTTGGAATTAGGTGAAGCGATAGGGCTGGAATCTTCAAACCTGATATTGAAGTCTTTGTTGGTGTCTGGAATTGAGATATGGAGGTGGTTTTGAAAATCGGTACTATTATTGTGTGCTAAATAGTACTAAATTTAGTATTGGATAAAGGAAAAGAGCTTAAATTCTGAAATTTGATATGGATGTGACTTTTGGTGCTGTAGTAATAGAGAAGAAGCTGCATTGGTATATGGGTACTATAATTGTACTAAATGGTACTTAATTTAGCGACGGGGGAAATTACAGAGCAAAAATCCTGAAATTTGATATTAGGGTCACTGTTGATATCTGAGGTTGAGATATTGAAATTGTTTTTTTTTTCTTTAAATGCGTACTATAATTGTTCGAAAAATACTAAATGGTACTAAATTTGCTATTGAGGTCTCTGTTGGTGTCCGTCGTTAAGATATGGACGTGGGTCTGCAAATCCTACATAGGTGTTCGACAAGAACTAAATTGATCTAAATTTGGTATTGAATGAATGGATAGAACTGAAACCATGAAATTGTATATTGCAATTACTGTTCTGTGTCTAGGATTAAGATATGGAACGGTTTTGCGTATGACTACTAAAATTATACGAAAAATACCAAAAGTTAATAAATCTGTTGGTATCTGGTGGTGGTTTTGCAAATGCGTACTATAGCATTTTCAGATTAAATGAAACCTTTTGCAATTCAAATGAAACTTTTTGCAGCGGAAATGAAACCTTTTGCAGCGGAATTGAAACCTTTTGCAGTGGAAATGAAACCTTTTGCAGTGTAAATTAAACCTTTTGCAGCGGAAATGAAACCCTTTGCAACCGAAATGAAACCATTTGCAACCGAAATGAAACTTTTTGCAAATCAAATTAAACTTTTAAATTTATAGGGGGAAAATTACAAAACATTTTTATTTTTAGTAGTTTTAAAATGAAATCAATTAATTATAACTAATATATTGATAAAGAGGAATTTTTATTGATTATAAATATCTACATTTTTATTAAATTTTCAATTATTATAATAACAAATGGTTCTTCATTGATTTGATATAAAATGCTTCTATATTATTAAACAAATGAAACAAATTTTGGCCTTTATAGGTATGGCCAGGATGGAAATGTGAAATTAAGCTTCACCACAATTTTTATAGTTATCTGAAAATGCTATATAAATCTTCGTAACAAACTATAGCATTTTCAGATTAAATGAAACCTTTTGCAATTCAAATGAAACTTTTTGCAGCGGGAATGAAACCTTTTGCAGTGGAATTGAAACCTTTTGCAGTGGAAATGGAACCTTTTGCAGTGGAAATGAAACCTTTTGCAGCGGAAATGAAACGTTTTGCCACCGAAATGAAACCATTTGTAACCGAAATGAAACTTTTTGCAAATCAAATGAAACTTTTAGATTTAGAAGGAAAAATAACAAAACATTTTTATTTTTAGTAGGTTTAAAATTAAATCAACTAATTATAACTAATATATAGTTAAAGAGGAATTTTTATTGATTGTTAATATCTATGTTTTTATAAATTTTTTTCTTAAAGCTTCCATAAAACACAAGTGTAGATGCAGAAAGATTGAAAAAAGTTTTTCAAGGTATTTTTTCAAAGGAGCCGAATTAGGTACCTTTTTATAATCTCCTCTATGGAAAGGAGGATATATTAAATTTGTCATTCGGTTTGTAACACCTCTAAACAATCATGATCATAGTTGATTTAATGATTTCCACTTATCTGTCTATTGAAATCACGACTGCTCTATCTCCATAATCAATAAAGCTAGTATACTATAACTATAAAAAATTGTGGTAAAGCTTAATTTCAGATTTCAGTCCTGGCCATACCTATAAAGGCCAAAATTTGTTTAAATTTCTCTTTTTAGAGTTAAGCATTTGGAATTTAATAATATGGAAGCATTTTATATCTAATCTATAAAGAACCATTTGTTATTACAATAATTAAAAATTTTAGAAATAATATAAATAAATGTACATATTAATAATCAATAAAAAATCCTCTTTGTCAATATATTAGTTTTAATTAACTGATTTAATTTAAAAACTACTAAAAATAAAAATGTTTTGTTATTTTTCCTTCTATAAATTTAAAAGTTTCATTTGATTTGCAAAAAGTTTCATTTCGGTTGCAAATGGTTTCATTTCGGTTGCAAAACGTTTCATTTCCGCTGCAAAAGGTTTCATTTCCACTGCAAAAGGTTTCATTTCCACTGCAAAAGGTTTCAATTCCACTGCAAAAGGTTTCATTCCCGCTGCAAAAAGTTTCATTTGAATTGCAAAACGTTTCATTTAATCTGAAAATGCTATATATGATACCCATTTTGGGTCACTGTTTCTGTCTAGGATGGAGAAATGTAAATTGCTGTGGACATTCTTACTAAATGTTACTAAATTTAGTATTGGAGAGGTCTCTGTAGTCCACATTAGGTTCTACAACAGATGTCAAAACATTGTCTATCTTGGTCCAAGGTATTTTGGTGATTCTAGCCAGAATATTTTCCCCTTTTTTGTATGACCCCTGTATAACAGTTCGGGCCACTTTATTGATTTTATATACCCTTCACCATTCTATGGAGGGTATATTAACTTTGTCATTCCGTTTGTAACTCCTCGAAATATTCCTACCCTACAAAGTATACGTATTCTGGATCAGCATAAAATTCTAAGACGTCTGTTGTAATCACGCTAGAGTCAAAACGAATAAAGATAGGAAGCTACAATTTTGGACAGATCAGTCTTTTGTTTGCAGGCAGGTCATGTTCGAAGATGGGCTATATCGGTCCACGATATCGTATAGCCCCCATACAACGGTACCCCCCGATATTCGATATTTTGATGCTTTTAGCCACATTTTCCAATGGAATTGTCTGAAAATCCACACAAGGAGTTCTTTCTGAGTACTTCATCCCCTGGAAGATTATTGTCTATATAGGTCCACGATATCGTTTATCTCCAATATAACTGTACCTCCCTATATTCGGTATTC